AGCCTGGGTGGTCCTCTACATGCAGGAGGGGGAGGTAGAGGGTGGGTTCCTGAGCTACAGGGGACAGGGCTAGGTTTTGGGAGAACTGGGCTCCAAACTTACCCTTTGATTCTGGCCAAGGCTCTTAGCTCTCCCTGGGCCTGTTTCCCCACCTGTCAAATGGGTGATACACCACGAACTGCTCACCTCACTGAGCAGCTGTGAAGGTCCACCTCTGAGAAAAGGGCAGAGGCGCCTAGGAAGGCTGGGCTGAGCCCTGTGGTGTGCAGGGGTGCGGGGTGCTGTGCGAGGAGGCCTCATGGACCCGGGTGCAGGGACAGGCAGAGTGAGCTAGGTCTGTGGAGCAGGGGAAAAGCCCTGTCCTGCTCCCCTGGGAAGCCTGAGACCTGCTCTCTCAGGATCTCACTTTCCCCATCTATTCAGAGCCCTTCCTACTCTGACAAGTGGCTCCAGGTGGGTCCTACATCCAGAGGCCCTTCATGGTGTGTGGGCGGGTGGGGGTCACCACTGAACCCTGGCCTCTGCCAAGAACTTGTCCCCCAGCCACAGTGGCCTTGGCCTTGACCTGACAGTGTGTTTGTCTTTGCTTTTCCAGAAACGCAGCGTCGATGAGGTGAGGACTTTCACCAGGGAGGGGGCATGGTGAGGGGGGCAGGGTGGAGCTGGTTTCCCAACAGCTGAAGAGTTGGGCCATAGCAGGAGATCCTGCACAGCTGACAAACAGCTCACAGCCCCTACCCTGGCAGACCCCCATGTGACTCAAGACCTCCAGGAAAGAGTGCCATGGAGCCATGCCCCCTAGCATCTCCCCAGATGCAGCCCAGGATGGCCATTGCACCGTCCTTCCTTTCACAAACACTTACCCAGCAGTGGCTGGTACTGGGCTGGGTGGTGAAAGGCCCCGTCACACCTTCACGGAGCATCTTTTTTTTTTTTTCCCCCAATACAAGGTTTTTATTGTACATCTTTATAGTTTCACAAACAAGTGTGGCAAATCATTTGGCATCTCGGTGTTTCTTCAGCTGGACAACTTAGATCTTATTCATCAGCCTGCTGAACTGTTCCTTTTTCAGAAACATAGATACCATCCAAAAATTTCCTGATATCCTTGTTTTTAACTGTTGTGCCTTGCTGAATCAAAGCAGCTGAATTTGATACAAGTTCAATGTCATTTCCTTCAAGAATCAACTCATCTTTCTGTGCTTGAGATACTGAAAAAGCAAAGTCTGACCTCATCCGAACTCTGCGGATGTATTTTTCGCCCAAGAAATTTCTAATTTCAACAAGAGAACCATTCTCCTGAATAACGACGTTGATGGGGAAGTGAGCGTACACAGACCTCATCTTGTAACGGAAGCCCAGTGTAACACCCTTGATCATGATCTGTACACGACTGCAGAGAGTGCGAACTGTGGCCAGTTCCTTTCTATTTCCCCACCATTTGTCAACCCGGAGCCTCTTCTTTTTCTTTCCGAGGAGACTGAGCTCTATACTGATGTGGTTGAAGTCTCTCCGTAGGGTGTCCTGGGGCCCTTCACAATAACTGTGCGCCCCTTCAGAGTGATGTCCACATTTCCTGGGATGTCCACAGTCTGACTGCTGAGAATGGTCTTCATCCTCGCAGTAGATGCGGCAAAGAGGAAGCCACGGAGCATCTTTATATCCACATTTAACCCAGATGTCTCCCTAGAATCAACCTCAGTTCACCCTTCGCCCGGCTCCCGGGGGAAAGAGAATATTGGGGTCATAAAGTTTTTCCCACACTCTATTTTCAGCACAGAAAATAAGTGCCTGTTTGGGAGGCAGAATCACACAATTGCCAAAGGGCACAGTAGGAAGGTAGAGGGCGAGCTTTCTAAATGGAAGTGTGAAAGGTGAGCAGGAAGAGCTGGGACAGGTCTCTGACCCCCGGGGTCAGAGGGGCAGAGACCTGGCTTGGCTGGAGCACCAGAGTGGAGGTGACAGGACCCGCCTGGAGGACCTCAGAGCATGGGGAACACTGTCCTGAGGGCAATGGGGAGAATGGGAGGGTTTCACGAGGGAGGGGAACAGGGTCACATTTGTTTTTTTATAAGATCTCACTGGCTACAGGCTGCATGGAAACACACTACAGGGTTAAGGAGGCCATGTTTAACCCAGACCTCCCTCAGTTCACCCCCCCTGCTCCCTGGCTTGCTCCCTCCCCTCGCCCTCTCCTCTTGGCATTATGTGAAGTTCCTTCTCATGGTGCAAAACTCCCCTTCCTAAGTGACTTCTTGCTGCTGAGCAATGAGGTGGCTGAGCTAAGGAACCTGTGGGGCCCAGTGAACAGGGAGAAACACAGGCTGAATCAGACAAGGCCTCTGCCCTCCAAGAAGCCCCTGGTCTCCGAGGGGAGAGAGGTGCTCAGGAAGGCCAGCGCATGCCAGGGGCACCAGGACTGCCCAGGCGCCCATCATCAGGACAGAGGTGGCCAACTGAGCAGGGGGATGGAGGAGGCCACCAGGCTTCCCACACGGGTGACTGGGGTGCTTCCCAGGCAGGGCCTTGGGAAGAGGAGTGGCCAGGTTAGAAGACCTGTTTCCCAGGGCCCGGGTTGGCA